CTGTGTGTCTGTCTGAGGCTTTTTCTTCTGTTCCTCTGCATGAAGCCTGTATAACTGAAGCCCTGTGCTTCTGTAATCTATCATCTTTTTGCACTTATCTCTCAGAATTTGTGCTCTGACCTTGTTCCTGATTAGAGATGTTTTTCCTTCGTTTCTTGCAAGTTCATTCATTGTTTTAAAGGCTTTGCAAAATATCTGCCTAGCCTCTTTTATTGCTTTGCTGTGTGAAGTGTTTGGGATCTCTATATTCTGCTGTATTTTTAGAAACCATAGTCCTGTAGTTTCCAACTTTCATTAGACTCTAAATTGTCATTTGTGGTTCAGTTCCAGAAAGAGCTTGTAAAATTTTACTCAGTAAATTGCTTTGGTCGTTAGGGATGACTGAGGTTGTAGTATTCTTCATTCCTCAGGTTGTGGATTTAGCAGTCTTGTATTGCCAGACCGGGCTACCCAGCCATCATGTGTAATGTTCATTGAATAAAAAGATACCATTAGATTTTAGGCGGCTGAATTGAACTTTGAGAACACAGTACACTTATGAATTGAGGATTACCTGTATATCAATGCAGGATTGGTAATAAAAGGGATGAATCAATAAATATGGTTTGTGAGGTTTCCTGTGGAATGTCTCTGCATTCGTGTGTCTTGATTATGTGAGTGTATAGATGGTGGTATCACATAATCATTGCTAAAGCTTTTCATTTTCCCTGTAGCCTCACGTAGACGAGTATCACTTCACATACCTTATACTTACATACTTATTGTCCATATTGTGGAATTGGACATCTGAAATTTAAGGAAAGCTTTAACTGTGTTAAGGTCTTCTTCACCAGGAGATGTATTTAGGATCAAATACAGTGTGAACGGACCAACATCTCAACACCATTTTCTTTCACATTCCAGGTTGATGCTGATGTCCCTGTATAATGTGAGCATCAATTTGAAAGGCTTGAAATACATCAGCGAGAGTCCAGGATTCATCCCTTTGCTCTGGTGGCTTTTGAGTGGTAAGTGGGGGTGGTTAGTTGTACAGCTCCTTGTACAGTTTATATAGCAGTCCCCCCCCCAATCCACAGGGGATGCACTCCAAGACCCCCAGTGGATGCCTGAAACTGGATAGTGCCAAACCCTATATAGCCTATGTTTTCTCCTATACATAAATACAGTGATACAGGGTAATTTATAATTAGGCACAGTAAGAGATTGACAACAGTACGTAATAATAAAATAGGACAGTTACAACAATAATTGTGCTTTGGGGACATTGTTAAGTAAAATAAGGGTGACTTAAAACACTGTAATACTGCAGCAGTTGATGTGATAACCTAGACAGCCACTAAGTGATTAACGGGTGCTTAGCATGGGCCCTGTGGACACACTGAGCAAAGGGATGCTGCACATCCCTGGTGGGACGGGGCAGGACAGCTTGAGATTTCATCACACTACTCAGAATGGTGTGCAATTTAAAACTGATGATTGTTTATTTCTAGAACTTTCCATTTAGTATTTCCAGGCAGTGGTTGACTGCGTGTAACTGAAACTGGAAAGTAAAACCACAGATAAGAGGGAGCTCTACTGTATACCTGTTCCTCTGTAGATGAAGGAAGTTTTAAGTGTTAGAAAGTAGGATTGATCATCCCAGGATGTTATTTTTTTAAAGATTTCAAATTATAGAGAATTCATTGGTGTGCTAAATTGCTTCAGTTCTACTTCTGAAGTATTGTTTTCAATTTGGTTATGATTTACTGGTGACTCCATAACACAAAGAAAAATTATCTTACGAAACAGCTGGTAAATGGCATCAACCTGTCCCATTCTCTGTGGACAGCGTAGTACTGTACCTGGGGTACGTGGCTCTGAATATCAGATAAAGGACAAGTCCCATTATTGAAGAATTTGGGTAAAAAGAAATTGGAGAGACTGCAGCACTGAAGAGGGAGATGTATGTGCACGTGTAGGGTATGTGTGTGTTTTAAAATTTTCTCTAAAATAAAAAGCCCTCTTTACTGCTTACCTTCCTCTTCACATTCAGCCACCAGTTTTACCTAAGGTTTTGTCCCAATTTCATTATAATTTTTAACACTGTGTTTTTAATGGGTATGTGTTTTACTCAAGCATGCAAAGATACTTTCCTTTTTCATAATACAATTAATCTCTGTTTTTGAGCTCTGTTTCTACTTGGTGGTGAATGCTTATTTTTTTAAATAAGTTTATTGAGGTATAATTGACATGCAATAAACTGCATATACTTAAAGTGAACAGCTGATAAATATCCCCCCGTAAAATGATTACCACAGTGAAGAGAATGAGTAAACCCACCACCCCTATGTGGACCCTCCTTCCTGCCCCTCTACTCCCTGCTTTCCAGAGAGCCACTTGCCTCCTTTCTGCACTGTGCTTTAGTTTTCTTTTTCTCCAGTTTCATATAAATGGAATCATACAATTTGTATTTCTTTTTGCCTAGCTTCTTTCACTCATAATT